AAAAAAAAAAAAAAGTAGAATTATCCGTCTAATGGATAAAGTAAAAGGGGGGTGAGTTCACTCTCCTTGAAATACCATCTACCACCAGCTATAAACAAATTTAGCAGGCCATCACAACTCTACCAGTGATAGAAGCAGATACATCTTGATCCTTAAGACTAACCTTTGTTTGCAACAAAATCCTCAGCAAGTAAGGGGTAGTATATGGAGGCCATAGGCATTGTATGACAGGCGGGCCATCTCTTTGTGTTGAAAACTGGGAGTTTCCGCAGAGAACCGATCCTAAGTAGGTATCAACGCCTCCTTGCGCTTGTTCCTGGCTCGGCCCTCGCCCGGGACAGAGCGACAGTTAATTAACTAGTTAGTCTCCTCTCTCTCGAGGATGCAAGGTTGGTATATGTATACCGCTGGGCGAGAAGAGGTCGTGTGAGAGTGGCAACCCTGGGAGCGGTTACACTAACCAACATGGCCCATGCATGTTCCTGCATTAACGGCGGTCTTATCTGCCACCACAACCGCCTCTAAATGACTGTCACTCCCAGCCGTGGTGTGAGGTAACCACCAGCAGCCATATCTGTCAACAACAGAATTGAAATCGGCCCACCGAACTTGTCAGGTTCCCGTAGCGGGGAAGAAACACGAGAAGTGGAGAGTGGACAGAGTTGATCGGGTCAACAAGCCGCCAATGCATTATCCTCCTTGTGTCTGGGCTATGCACGCTTGTAACTCGAGCGCACAAAGGAAGTCTCAGGCGAGCAAGTCGGCCTCCGCTTTGCATCGAACCAGCGTCTATCAAACGAAGATCCGGCGACGCAACGCAGAACTTTCCGTTCGTATAACTAGTTAGTTCGTTACAGCGAAAACTGGCTGGCATCTCTGCCTGCTGCTCTGCTCTGAGGAATATGGCGGCCTGCTGTAACCGTGGGCGATCGCCGGGCTCAGGAGCGTCGTCGTCGCGAAGTCGTCTCTCAGGGAAGGTCAGGTCCCTGGCCTGGTCACCGGCTCCGCTTCTCCGTACTAGCCTTCCCACCCATCCACCAATCCACTTTTCTTCTTCATAGAATATTATGATTGACTGTGATTTCCCTGTTCTTTTCTTCAGCCTTTCGATGCTTGCTTTTTCCTCGCCGTCCTTCCTGCTGCTCCCGACGCTGGGCTTGTGGCTGAGCCAGGGGGGAAAAGAGCCAGATGACTCAGCATCACAAAAGCGGCGACACGAGCAAACCAGCAGGACGACTGGCCCAAAGAGGCCACTTTCTCTCGCCGCTTTAGCCGGTCTCTTCTTTTTCTCCTCCAGGGGTCTCCCTTCGTCTTCAAACATCCGCGTCGCCCTCCTCTTCTTCCTTCTTCTTCTTCTTTTCTTCTTCTTCTTCTTGTTGCTGGATCGGAAACCCGGTAGACAAGCAAGACGACGACGACCCGGCAGCTCGACAGCAAACAGGCGTCTCGTCTCCTGCGAACACGCCGCCTAGAACACGACGAACGAACAACAAGAACGGACCCAAGACGATAACGATAAGAAGTTCAACTAAAAAGGTCTGGATTGCACGTGAGTGCCACCTGATCAACTCTCAACCGCCATCAAGAACATCGAGAAGTTCTTCTGCAAAGCCGCAGCAAACAATCCACCAGACATCCATCCTCGCCCACCACCCTTCTCCTCCATCGCCGTCTTGCTTCTAGCTGGGTTGTCTAGCAGTCCAGCCGTCGTCTTGAAGCGAGAGCGAGACTCCCGTCCCTAATTTACGCATACTCTCCCCAAACACATCCTCGTTTGGACGTCGTTTCCGTCTCTTCGTGGGTAGAAATACATTTACGGACGCACATGATGTCGAACCAAAACAACATCTCCATCGCCATGACCAACCGGTCTCTGCGGAACATCAGAACTGTTAGTCAATACCCTGCTCCCGTTGTCTTCCCGTCAACAGATGGAATCCTCCTGTGACCTGGCGTCGTTTGGACCTGTTAGAGGGTGTTTACATCAGGACCTGTCTTTTCTTCCTACTTCTATTATCCACACACATATTGACCGTGGGAATTGACCCAGGAACTCGAATTTCTTGCCGACTCCTCCGTCATCACTCCTGCACAGTTGTCATCCATCCTCGAACAGCTACCTAGTCAGACACAGCTGCACGCTCCATTACATCAGCCCGTTACTGAGTCAACATTTTCCCCCCCAGCTGCCCAACTATCTCGAGTCAGCCTGAACGAGAAGGCTGAGAGCCCATACTCAAGCCCCCCGCCGCCGCCCACGTATTCTTCCGCTCCTCCCGTACTCTCTCTTGCTTCGGCTCTTTACGCCTATACTCCAACTGATGCCGGAGACTTGGCACTGCAGCCTAACGATCGAATTCAGGTTCTCGAGCATATGAACAATGACTGTGCGTAGTATACATGCATATTGACAGTTTGCTCCCATAAGCACTGATGGCTAACTTACCTACAGGGTGGCGTGGTAGGAACGAGCGAACTCACCTTGAGGGTATCTTCCCACGAACCTACGTTAGCGTAATCGAGGAGAAGCCCATCATCCATTCTCCCCAGCCCATCAGCTACAACAACATGCCCCTTGAGATATCACAGTCCGGCTCATCGTCCCACGGAAAAGTTCCTAGCAAATTCGAGGAGAACGGCAAGAAATTCGGAAAGAAAATGGGCAATGCTGGTAAGCTCTCTCTCTCTCTCGCTCTCGCTCTATTTTCAGTCGTCTACATAGACTGTTGTCACCGTTACTAACTCAAGGTCTCCGTGCAGCTATCTTTGGTGCTGGCGCCACCATTGGCTCAAACATTGTCAACGGTATCTTCTAACTCGGTCGTCTGTATTACACTTCATATACCTCAACAGAAGAGAGCAATACCTTTTTGCGTGTACGCATGCTGTGATTTGTGGGAATATTTTCATTTTTTTTTCTCTCTCTCCTTTTGGATTTACTTCGGGACAGAGCGGGACTAAGAGTCCTGTTCACATCGGCGTTAACGCTACTGGGCGGAGTTTAACGGCTCGGAATCATCTTATCATTTTTTTTCCCTTCTTGTGCTGGGTCGGCAATGAGAACCAACCCCAATATCTGGCCGGTATCCTTTGACGCCTACACGCCGACTCACCGAGAGGTTACTACTTCGCATTCGACACTTATAATACAAATGCATCCAGCATCAAAATTCCAGATCATTCTGGACTCGTTTGGATCTATGGATCTATCAACGCCTGTCTGCTTTGATCATAGCCTTTAATCGGGCTATCAATCTGACAGCGTATTTACCCACACGTCTTATAAGGATGATGAGCTTGGGGAAGCTACATACCGGCATACGACACGTGGCTGGGCTGGGTTGGGATGGACCAGGCTTCCTTTGATCATGCTACCACCACTTTTCTCTATTCTTCACTTCTTTTGCTGTCTCCGTTTGATTTTGAACTTTTTTCCATCCATTCTTGCTATAGACCCTTTTTCTCCCTCTCATCTTCTACAACCCCTTTTCATATATCAACTTCTTGTCTTTGCCTACTGCTCCCCATCTTTTCTTCAGCATGTAGACTGGCTTGATACCTGTCTATGCCTCTTACCAGCTTGGATGTATGGTTTGCTGTCCTAAACTGGCTTACCCATAGTAACTGACACGCACGGCACTTCTTTTCTTTTGTATCATGACAAACATGCTGCTCTTATACCTGACCAAGCATTTCTCCTCCGACATTCCTTTTCGTGGCTACTTTTCCTTTTCTCCTTTTCTTTGTCCTTTGTTGTTGTTGTTTATCTCTCTCCTTTTATTCTTTTATCTAGTCTAATTCAACTTGCGCTTTTCGTTTGCTAGGCTATTCTTCTTTGACCATCACCCGTGTATCTATATACCACCCTCTACATAATGAGGCCAAGGTACATTTCTTTTCTTATACCCCTTTCCCTATTACAACCCACTCGCCATCAATTCTCGCTGGGATCCCGGATACGACAAAAACCTCACTGGCCGAGGGAGAATCTTCCCACCTACTCGGAGATCTACCCCTGTAATTCGGTCTAGATTCAAATACCAATTGAGTAACATACCATTCCCATCACACCTCACTCCGCTTGACCAGCATCGGCAAAGCACCCAAGAAAATAGTGCATACATAGCAACTTGTGAAATGCGTCATAAGGAAATTGCACGCTTTCTATTCCCCTCCCCAGGCAGACAGGCAACTTTACCTTGCCGGTTAAGCGGTTCAGAGGCTGTCCTACCGTCAGCATGTGTACGACAGGGCCTCGTAAGGAAAACAGCTGAACATTCGTATCCACCTGAACAGACAAATCCGGTTTATAGAAAAGGAAGCCAAGTGGCAGTGTTAGGAGACTGGAAACCGAGCGCTGGAAGGCCAAGTGGGCAATGTCATCCTGTCTCGTCTCACTAATTCGAACAGCGCGTGAGAGTGCTGGGGCCGTCGAAGGATGCCAATGATTTCCTATTTTCCCTCTTTACCAGCCGAGCTTGCGTGTAACTCATTCCTTAACCGTCTATTTTATAGATTTTGTGCGACCTTATCCGAGACTGAAGCATTGCTTATTGTTTTGTACATTGCACATTCAAGTTAAGGTAGATATTGATACCGCTGAAGTAGGCGAGGCAAGTGATGACTCGGGCCACGCAAGTTGCTGCTAGATCATTGACACATGTTCGGCCAGACCGTAATAAGACTGGATATCAAGACACACGGGCGGGATATAGATGCGAAATGATGCATATTCTGCATCTGCTTTGAATGCTCCAAGTTGAGACTGGCCACGGTAGATGGTAGCTTGCTTATTCTCAGCGGCATGGTGTTCGCCTATCTTCCCTTTCTCTCCTCGTGTGCGCTGGCTGCAGGCTTGCATGCTATGTGCAGAAAGGTTTTACATGCCAGGCTGGAGGAAAGTGTGTTAATACTGATTTTGCAAACCGTTAAGCGGGAGGCGCGGATCTCATAAGAAGAGTAGTTCTCATTGGAGGCACAGGGTGTCATAGCGGTAGCTCGTAATTTGCACCTGAGCTGGTTACCACTACTGACAATTATAAAAACCATGCTTCTTACATGGCTAGGGAAGGTTTGACGTAGCAATGACTTTAATAAGATCACTTGGACTGGAGCACTTGCTTCAGGGAGTCGGCCGCATCTTGCGGTCTGGGGCTTGTCTGCAGACTGAGGAGGTTATAATTTTGTGATCTTGCCTCGTGGCTCCTGTAAAAAACACTCATTACTTAGCTAAGATTTTTGTAAAGGTTGCCACAGCAAGGGGGGGTTTGGTTCCAAGGAATGAAATAGAATGTGTTAAAGAGGAGAGGAGCAAGGAATCAGCAGTTCCATGATCTAGAACTAAATCAGGAATCCATTCAATTTGGAAGATGCACAGCGGAGGTGGCAAAAGGATCGAGCAAATGCCCCAAAAACGAGTGCCATTGCTTAAGGTACGAGCCAAGCTGACAGACAACCCCCAGCAGTTAAGGCATATATACAAAACCGAACTGTCTATAGTTAGCTAGCTATATGACCCCGATAGTTAATAATGCTGTGTATGGATGAGATATCTTAATTCCTCTGGCTGGGGCTATCGGAGAATCCTGGGTATCAGCGGAAAAAGTGATCGGTTGACCTTGTAGCTTCGGGGACATCGAGGAAATCATGCACCACGTCTAGCCAGGGAAGGGTAAATGATAGAATAGGCCACACGGTCGATGATACGGACACCACCATCATGCATGAGGCAAAATGAACATGCATGGTTGAGCAGCCTGATCTGGCTATCAAGATATTAGCGAAGAAAGGCTAATTCTAAAATAGCCAACAAAGAAAGGCAACAAAAGAGCAAGGGACTGCATTGTTGCAAACATAGTGTTTACATGTGAGTTGATCTCGGCAGTCCTAAAGACGATGGGTATGGGCTCAAGGGAGAAGGGATCTAAACGAACGTTGGTGGCGTGGTCATGGATCAAGCGCAAGCATTCCTTGTGGTAGAACATGTGGAGGATGGAAGGGGATGGATGGATGCTTGAGTTACTCATTCAACTAGTCACTGACGCATTTCATCTGGGGACAGCCCAATCGTGGGGGTCCCTCTCTGCGTCTATCCCTATAATACTGCTTATAGGGCGAGTAAAGTTGCGATGGGCAAGAGCAGGGGATTCTGGAGAAGGTAATAATAATAATAAAAAAGATAAGGACACATGAGATCGACGCTGCCCGACAAAAAGGAAAAAAAAAAAAAGAAAAGAAAAAGAAAAAGAAAGACAGTGTATAACTGAGCCTATAAGGTGTCACTCCATATAGCTAGCAGGCTATATGTCTGTATCGTTGATACATAATTAACGGTCTCAGGGAACCCCCGCTTGTTATGGCATGCCATGCATGGAAGGTGATGATTATCAAATCAAGGGCCAAGTGGGAACGTATCAGAAGGAGAGATAGCTTTTGAGACGACATGTGCCTTGCGCTAGGACGACTAGTTATCCAGGTTGCCGGGTCACCTCGTCATCTCCAGGACTCCGAAGAGAGGTGGTAACAAGAGGGTGTTATTTATCGGTTGGAGTTGGAGAAAACATGGGACCAGCAGTCCGGTTTTCTTCTCTCACTGGGTATCACCCTCAAGAACAGGAATGCAAGGTGCAAGGGAGGTTGTTGAAGTTATGCAAAATGGGCCCCTTTAAGTCGCGCTCCCCCTGATGCCCTGAATGTCCTGGTTCGGGTAGCAGAGCTACTGAGTCCAGAACTTTTCTCACCCCCATTTGAACGGAGTACCTTGGTAGGTGCCTTGTACAAGTTTGGTACCTGCTCAATGGAGTTACGCAAAAGCATAACTGCCAAGGGCTGCAGGCCGAAGCTGCGCCGTTGGAAGCGAGCTGGCTCATAGTGGGCTCTCTCCAGTTCAGCCTCAACCATGTTCGTCACTGAGCAATTAATTCCTGGTTTAGGTCACACTTCTGCAACCATATAACCACGGTTTATCCGAGGAGAGATCGTCGCAGCTTGGATGGCTGCGATACGGACAACGGGCTGCTCGTTCAATAAGGCCCGCTTATTGATTCTTTCAGATAGAAAATTGTAAAAGGCTAACCCACGGCTCAAAAATACTGCGTCCTTTTCAGGGCGGCAAACCAGTTTACTAACCAGCTAGTTAGTTAGTTAACTAATTAGGTGGCTATCAACTCAATCAGCCATCACACCCTCTTCTCCTATGGCAACAGGAACTGTAGGACAAACGAGATCACATCACACGATCTCGAACTTACCGAGCAACCAACTGCGAAGTTTACGGAGGAGCGGGTGGGTTTTTTTTTTTCTTTTATTTTTTTTTTAAAAAAAAAAAAAAGTAAAAGGGACCATAGGGGCAGATCTAAAGGGCAGAAGACACGGCTGGGCAAGTAGCCTCATGTCCGTTCGCCGTTGAAGATGCGCCCTTTGGATAGAGTGGCTTGGATGGTGAAAATTTTGAGATATTTCACAGTCCCGCCAACTAATGCAGACATGGGAAATCACTCAAAGTGATGAGCGTCCCTCTGCAGGTTTTGAGAGTTGATGGCACCCAGAGGAGAAGCAGAAGAGATAGGAAGATGGTTTGTTGGACGTCGAAGGCCGAAGTTTTCAAATATTGATGGGACGAGGTCGAAATTAACGACGAACCCGTGACTTGATTGCCCAAAGCGGTAAAAGAGACGTCATGGCTGGTTCAGGCGCACAGCACGAATTGATAGAAGCACCTATGGCGCAGAGAGCAGGCAGAAGAGAAAGGTGAAAAAATTGATTAAGATGGCTGGAAATTAGTAATGTACAACTCCTATGCCCCGGGGGTTTTCTT